TAGTTGTAGTATTAGTTGTTGTAGTAGTAGTTGTAGTAGTAGTAGTAGTAGTAGTAGTAGTATAGTAGTACAAATAGTAATAGCATTAGTACTTGTAGTACTCAATATTATTATTATTATTATTATTATTAATATTGTTTTTATTATCATCAATGTTATTATAGTTGATGTTTTCATTATGATTAATATTAGTTCCTTCTGATTTGTGTAAGCAACTTAACTGCTTGAAGAAGATAGGTCATTGATGCACAGAAGGATTAGTAGCCTATTAGTTCATTGATCGTATGGAAATGGTGTGGCATGAATTGGAGGCCAAGCGTCTCTTACGGCAGTGAATTTTATTTAGAGAAGTGTCTCTTTGGGCAATAACTGTCCTCTTGACTTTAGTATGTCTTATCTCAAAAAAGATAAAAACGAGAGATTTGGATCAGAACTTGAAGCTATCTAGAAAGGCCTTATTCTTTATTATCTGATGTGATACTTTACTGAATTCGTAAAGCCTTGAGCAAAGCCTAGTACTATCAGTCTCTGGTTGTAACGTATAAAGCCTATATGACGTGCGGTAGACCATGAACCTAATTAGGTTCATGGGTAGACCGTGCAGTCGGTGTAGCTAGTCTCTTTGTTCAGACACTCAGTTGCGCACGATTAACCAGCTAGGGTTTATGCTTGTAACCTACTTATTCTTTGCCTGGGTAAGTAAACAACTGTGATGGGTCAAGTAAGGGGGTGGGCGTCTTTAATCTCTCCTATCCAATTCATTCTGGATCAAGAACAATTAAGAAAATTAGCCTGCGCCCATTAGATCGCCCCTGCGCCTTTATCCAATCAGGCTCTATTCGGACAGGTTCTCATATCCAGGTAGCATACTGTTACAAACAAGACTTCAGCCATCATCTCTACCCCCGCCTGCCCCATCTTCTTTCATCAACCTGAATCTGCCATTGATGAAGGAAAAAATGTACACGTGTGACAACGGAACATCTTTGTTCATAACTCTAAATTCAGAAAAGTCCCCGAACGATTAGACAGGAAAAGAGATAAGGATGTGGGATATTGGGTCTTAACCTGAGGTGAATCTCATGTTAGGAGCACGAAGTGGGGGACAGGATTTACTCTATATGAAAAAGGAACTCTTCATGATGTAGGCTGCACATACATGGGGGTCAGGTGCTTAACACAATCAGTTAACACGTTTGGATTTGCTCTTCTATGCGAGCGTTTTGAACATCAACCATGCATTTAATATCTATATATCTATATATGTTTTTGTATGTGTTATTGTTTAATTAAAAAAAACTATTGTATTTTTATATTGTAATTTTAAGCAGGGGATGATCCCCGATAAACCTCTGTGGTTTTTGATCACCCCCTCTGCAGGTTCATCTTTTGTTGTAATCCTTTTATATTTGATTGTAATTTACACTGTCTTTTATGAATCTGTGGAAATAAATGAAATTGAAATTGAAATTGAAACATTTTTAATTAATACATTTGGTCTTAATTTCCCAGGGTGTAGCCACATCAACTGTTCTTCCTGCGGTTCCACCATGATATTTAGATGTCTTTAATTGAAGTAGAAAATGAAAGGAACAGGTCGGTTAAAGTTTGAGCAAATTCCGATGAAAAATAAGAAAGTTATGAAATTGTGAAGTTGAAAACCTGCGAGCTCCCTCCAATTTGCTCTGTACAGAAAATTGTATAAACTTTCCTTTTCTTCGTTATCGATGAAGAAAGATTTTTTTTTTCATACAGGAATTTTGTAGAAGAACAAAAATTGAAATTATTATATTTAGTGTGCGTGTATGATTGAAAAATACCTTAAGGGGAAAATTGTGATTTTGTTTTTAATAGTGCAGAGCAAATGGGGAGGAAACTCGAAAGATACCTAAAAAGTTGCCAATTTGTGTTTGATTAGTCGCAACTTCAAGGTCATAACTTTCTAATGTTAATCGGAATTGGCCCAAACTTCCACTGACCTGTTCTTCTCATTTTGCTGCTTCAAAAAAAAAAAATTAATATCAGGGTGGAATTTCTCTTAAACATCTTGTCCAATGATGTAAGCACCGAGCAAGCATCGAACCCGAGATCTTGTACGAATATAAGAGGCCTATACCGTGTGAGTCAAAAAAAAGTTTACACCTAGAAAATTGCTAATTATTTTTAAAATCATCTATGAGCAGTAAATTATTATACATCTTATGAAAGAGTGTTTTATCCCAAATCATTTGGTACCATTTTCGTGTGGTATGTGTTCACGCTTGGATGAGCAGGTGGCATTGTTTGCGAGAGTGCAAAAATCGACTTGCGCCAAAGTGATGCCTTCAGTATGTATTATGTTGGGATTAGCGGATTGAGAGAATAGATTGAATGTATCAAACGAAATGCATTGCATATGTTTTTTGCAAAGGGCAAAGTCATACACACCCACACACACGCGCACACATGTTCGTTGATATTTGCTATTCGATATTTGATATGTGTGGCATGATTTATTTTGTTAGGGGTGTTATTTGGATCTGCAAAGACCGAATTAAAGGAAACCAAAACCTTCATACTAAGTTACTTTTATTGTAAAGCTTAAGATACTTGAAAAATATCAGTGAAAATTTGAACAAAATCGGGCAACGAATAAGGAAGTAAGAGCTTTTTGAAATGACTAGTCACTAGAGGGCGGTATTCAATTGATGACATCATCTGTGGACAACTCTCCATGCCTTTTGTACATCAGATTTCATGTTTTTCCTTTTTTCTTGTGATTGAGATAATGTACTCCCCCGAAAGCAAGATATAAAATGCAAAATGATATTCTACTTCACATATTGTAAAGTCGGATCAAGAATACAAATAAATACGAAGAAAACAAAAAAAATGTGAAATTTTATGTACAAAAGGCATGGAGAGTTGTTCACAGATGATGTCATCAAATTGAATACCGCCCTCTAGTGACTAGTCATTTCAAAAAGCTCTTTTAACTAGGCGTTGTGGCGTGCGCCTGTAATCCAGCTAAAAAGTGGAAGTTACAAACTGATTCAGCCGAGGACACAGGTTCGAAACTGAGTCACGTCTTTCGGATGGTGACGTTTAAAGGTCGGTCCCAGACGTAAATAATCATATCTGATTGATACACGTATGTAAAAACCCAATACACACACACACACACACACATCTTACTTCCTTATTCCTTGCCCGATTTTGTTCAAATTTTCACTGATTTAATTCAAATCTTTTAAACTTTACAATAAAAGTAACTTAGTATGAAGGTTTTGGTTTCCTTTAATACCCAAATCCCAATTGTTTTATTCAAACATCACATAGGCAACTTTGGCGCAATTCGATTTTTGCACTCTCGCAAACAATGTCTCCTGTTCATCCAAGCGTGAACACATACCACACAAAAATGGTACCAAATGATTTGGGATAAAACACTCGTTCATAAGACATATGACAGTTTAATGTTCATCGATGATTATTTTAAATAATTAGCAATTTTCTAGGTTTAAACTTTTTTTTGACTCACACTGTATATTCGTACAGGAATTCGAATTCTCCTGTTATAAGGTAATACAAAGTTTTGGGAAATTTTGAAATTGGGTGAATAGTGATTATTCACAGTTTTGATATATTTGGATGCCCCTGTGGATGTATTATAAGCACTAAAAAAATGTAACCCCTAAAACGCTTCTGCTTTCGAGAAAAACTGAATATAAACATTTACCGGTGCTCCCGGTAAATTTTGATAATTTTCAAATAGCGCCTACGGCCGTACAATGGTAGCTGCGACCATGAAAATCTCAGAATATGTAGTTGTCATATATCATTTCCAAACGGGAATAGCTAATCGGTCGATGTTAGTCAAGAAACATCGTTTTATAGCTTAATTAATATCTTGACCTTGAGAGGGAGCTTTACAACGTAAAGAGTTTATTATTTAGAATTTCATAACTTTAGACTCGACTTCAACCGCGACAATGATCACTGAATATTGTAGGATCGCATATGCTTTCAATATGTTCGTTTGACCCAAATTCATGAACCCATACCAAAACTTTGTATTACCTTTAATCATCCCTAATTGTATTTTGAGTAGTCAGATTGCGAATTACTTACATTAGTTTTTGCTATAATAATAATAATAGGGCAACAAATTCGTAACGAGTCATGTCATACTTTAATCATATATTGTATCACGAAAATTGCCTTAATTTATTCAAAAACAGAAGTAAAACATCATATTTATCTTCTTTATACAGTATTCCTTACAACAACTCCTATATAGTGGTGAAGTGTGACGTCATCAAAAACCTATTTTTAGATTTTTTTTTTCTTCATTTCCCGAAAGAGCATCAAAAATAATGTCCAAATGTCGAAAACCAATTAAAATGTTAAGTATTGGCTGAGATATGACCATCTGAATTAATATATTTCCCATAGGAACTCAGTGTTATATGCTCTGGCTCCTGGTTTGGAGCCAGAGCATATAACACTGAGTTCCTATTGGACATCTTTTCATTCAGATGGTCATATCTCAGCCAATACTTAACATATTCAATTGGTTTTCGACATTTGGACATTATTTTTGATGCTCTTTCGGAAAATGAAGAAAATATTAAGAAATTCTAAAAATAGGTTTTTATGACGTCAGAGCTTCGGTACTCTATTTCAAATGATTAAAAGATAACTAGGTTGAGATGGTTGTTTAATTAATATGATGAGGCATATCCTTTGAATAAAAAGGGTGAGTATAATCATGACTTCATTGTCTTTGTCATGATTGAGATTAACCTGTGAAAAGGTTAGGGAGTCATGAGGATTACTATGACAAATAGAGACGTGCAGACTGAACAAAGCATGACAGTGTACACCTCCTACACGGATCCAGTCAAACTCTATTCTGAAATAATAGATACATTCATCAGAAAAGAATCACTAAAATTATATTACAAATGTAGGAAAACACTCTCCATTAACTTGAAAGACTGGTACGTTACTTGACTTACCCGAACCAGAATTCTTCTGAAAGGTAATTAGATCCTAGCTAAGACCGCGTGCGTTATATCCTATGTATAGCATCCAAGCACCGATGTTGTGACGTTCGTGTAAAAAGAATCTCCAGACCTCGCTTAACACTTATCTCCACTTCAAGCTTCATTCGCGTATCCTGAAACTTTCAGGAGTTTGTGGGCGATAAAAAAAATGGCGGGCAAGCCACGAAAAGAAAAGGCAGTCTTGAATGTCAGAAGCAGTTTCGGCGCGAAAGCGAGTACAGGAATTGACATGAGCAAAAGTAGTCTGCCGGATTGCTGGCAAGATCTAAAAAGGGCTCGATGATTCATGGTAAAATTGCAGTAGTTTGGATCCAGGTAAAAGGGGGATATGCAACTCCAAACTCCGGCACGGGTGTTTGCCCCCACCATGAGTCAACGCTCTTCTAGTCCCACGACGTGCGTTCTAAACCTTAAAGGGATAGATCAACGATAGATCAAAGACGGCAAGACCAAGTTCTTTGGTCATTTATCAGGGGTTTGCTCGCTATTTATAAGGTGTGCTATTTATAAAAGACCGCTATTCATTTAGTCCCGCGTTATGGATAGCGGTCCTTATGAATAGTGGTCCTTATGAATAGTAGTCCTTATGGATAGCGGTCCTTATGAATATCCTTATGAATAGCGAGGTAAATTGTCTCTGGTTTGCTCGCTATTTATAAGGGCCGCTGTTCACAAAGGATCGCTATTTATCAATCTACAATAATTTGTGTATAGAAACTGCACCCAGTTACTTCTGTAGCTACACCTTTTTTCCACCTTGATTATGCAGTATCATACTTTATTCAATTCCCCTAAATATCTACTTAAACACATATTATTTCAATAATGTTTTTCTATTATTGTTTGTGTACATAGTTATGTTGTGATTGTCATGATTGTGAATATTTGTATTTTTACTCTGTAAAAGTGTTCGCAAAGCGACCTCTAGTTATGATCAAATTGCATTGGTAAATCATTTCAATTTCCAATTCCCAATTTAGTGTCACGTACGTAACCGAGAATTGTGGTGTTGTGAACATGAATTGATATAAAATATGACATTTGCATTTGGTCTGAAGGGCTTATAGACTTCAATGATCAGATTCATTTAATGATGACATGTTATGGGTAGCGTATGGGACAAAAGAGCTAGGACTTGCCAACAAAGTAATGCTGCATCTTAACTTTGGTATACATCCACGCAGGCTATTATCATGTCAAATTAACTAATTCTTTATAAGGATTGATCACTTTCGTAGATGTGATATGCAATTTCTGGAAGGCTATGCTCAAGTTTGTATTGAGTAGACATTAGCAGTAGGGCGTTACCTTGTTTTCTGGGAGGGGGTATACGCAAGACTTTCTACAAATCCAATTCTTAATCGTCTTATTTTTAATCACGCATAATAAAGAATCTGATGCATACTTACTTTCTATTGAACGATTATAATGGTCTCTCTCTCTCTTCTTTTCCTTCTGTTTTGGGGTATCTTTGTTATGATCGGATATGAGTGTGTGTGTGTGTGTGTGTGGGGGGGGGGGGGGGGCTGGTATCCAGAGAACATTGCAAGGAAGTATGTTCAAAATGATGTACTTTTTATCAAAAGAAAGTAACAAAATAGCGAAGGTCTGCTATTCATTGTTTAAAGACCGTCAATACTACTGGGCCACACAGCGAGGTCACTGACAGATGGCTATCTCATTAACTCAGCTCTTAGCTAAAATAAGAAAAGGAGGATCATGGGGGACCAACAGGCACCGATTGAGAAGTTTTCTATATAGAGGGAGCAAGTAGCTACAAGTAGGACAGTGGGGCTTTAAGGCAACAGTAAAAAAGTTAGATTTTGCGAACCCTGATACACTTGCGACTAGCTCCTCACTTTAATCTCTGTATTTTATCAACTACTTTGTATTTATATCTTTAAAGCCATTATAATACTTTTTCTATCTGAGTTGAGACTTCTGAATGATTCATATGGATACAAAATTATCCGATGATGAACTCGCAATAATCTCCACTAGATTTTATTCAACGCCTACCTCAGCAATTACCAGAATTTCGCCGGAAGCAAGAGCAAAACCAAGAGCAGGCTGGAATATTAGTATACAATATGTTTGATTCGATTTGATTTTATTTGATTTAGTGATTTCTGTATTTTTCATACAATAATAATCAGTAACATTGTGAACATTTTGTACATAGAGCTATAATATTCTTTTTCAAATTGCAATGAATAACACAATTTATGCAACCATATGTTAGGAACGATTGACATAGCAAATGCGGAAGAGTTGCAGTGGAAGTGGGCGCTTGAAGTGCATGCAGCTCTTTAACTTATGACAGTGACAGCAAAATGTGATAATATATATGAATATGCACCCACAAAAATACGGAATTTAATGGCAAAAAAATGACTTGCTTATAAAGGAGACAGAGAGGGAGATAGAGAGGGGTAGATAGAGGAACAATTGGTACTATGCGGCTACTTCAATTTCAATGCTGAGATTTACAAAAAAAGGTTTTATTTAACTATATACTGAGTAAATCAGTCTTACTACATCAGAAGTTTTGTTTTGCTTTGTAAGAGAAGAATTATGTAGGTCAGTTTACTGCCTCGGTTATTACCAAGTGAATAACAATATATATATATATATATATATATATATATATATATATATAAACAGTTAACAAGAAATTATTTATACCTCTTGTAAAGATGACTATACATTGTGTTTTTTGTAACCCAAGAAATGAAAGGTGTACTGGTGAAATATGACCTTCCTTGCATACTTCAAGATGTAATCTTTGATATGCGGCGCGTTCATGCTTGATTTTGAAGGCAGAATGAGCGATTTGTAACGCTCATCGTAATCGCAGTTCCACGGTGCACTGTTCATGCTCACTTCTCCAGGCAATTCTCCTTGGGTGGCCTTTAGCTGGATTCGCAAACCTGTGTGCGCATGCTACGTAGATCCAATAGAGGTCAGTGCGTTGACCCCATTTAAACGCGTTTACAAATTGTAAACGCATCTTTTTGTGAGTTTACGATCGGCGATCGTGATCACCGTTTTTCGGTGATTCTACAAAAGTGAGCATGAACGCAATCGTGTTTTAAATTAAACGCGTAACAGATGCCTGATTCTGGCCGTCAAAATCAAGCATGAACGCGCCCCAAGAAACATAAATCGGGACAAATCAGTTTTTTACCTACTTGACAAATACCTCACCTTGGTATGGCTATGAATAATTTAGTTGTTAATTATTGTATATTTAAAGCAGGGTAGTGCCATTCACACTTTCGTACGGTCTCCTCTTTAAGCCAGTTCACGGTTGCAGTCTGAGCATGAGCAGATAAAGGTCATTACAGAACAAAGTGTGAAATAGGCAGAGACAACATACTGGATACCTGCTCATGAAAGTTATGTAATCATTATTCATGTATTGCCAAGCGGTGCACTCCATGATACACAGGTGGAAGTATACTTTGAAAACGGGAAACAAAGGCTATTTATGTAGCACTTCCATCGCTGTAGGAGTGATTATTTCAAAATGTACAAAGTGGGACCTCTTCATCTTTTGAAGATTTTTGGATATTCGGGGTCATTTGGGACATATGCTAGCCGTGAACCGGTCTATTAAATCCCCACTATCCTACTTGCTCCCTCTATATAGAAAACTTCCCCAATCGGTGCCTGTTGGTCCCCCACGATCCTCTATTTCTTATGTTATTTGAGAGCTGAGTTGATGAGATAGCCACCTGTCAGTGACCTCGCTGTGTGGTCTAATTCTTCCTAGCCACACTAGTGTTGATAAGCTTTAAGGGACAAGGTAGTTCATATATTAAGACATACCTTGGAAGTGAAAAACGGTTCGGGCAGTTAACTTACACAGTTTTCCGTAAAGTTGAAACAGTCAGAGAGATTAAAGAATAAATTTCTAAGAAGATATAAACTTCATCTATAAAGAAATAAGTACAAAATGACTGCATTTCAAATTCTAAATTATCATATAAATTGATCATGATTAGCAGCATTTGGTGGGCAACATCATTAAACAAACTAATTTGTATTTAGATTAACAAATGTCATTCCTCATCCCTCTACCGCCTCTTCCCGAAAAAAAGGTGTTCATGATAAAAAAAATATTTAAAAAATAAAGCAATTGTACATTATTGGATTCCTGAAATTGTAAAAGTTGAAATTGAAATTAAAATCAAGTACTTATTGTCGTTTTGGCAATCTGTTTTTCACTGGTATAAATTTCAAAAATAATAGAGAAAAAGGAAAGGTCATAATCATAGATAATTACAGTAATGGTTGACAGCAAGGATGCCGAGAGAGTGAGAGGGTTAAGGAGAACCAGCGGTAGGTAGTGGAGGTGGGTAGAGCAGTGTAGAAATAATGAAAAGAGATCAAATGTATTATAAAGTAAAAGTAAACATGTGCAGCTAGTACTTGCAATGTAAAAAATATGAAGGAAATGTAAAACAAATTACGTTTAATAATAATAATAATATATAATAATCCGTTTTTTATATAGTGCTCAATACACCGATCCAAAGATGTGCCTAAGCGCTTTATAGATATATCATTACCCCGGTCATCGGATTCAGGCTTACCCGCACACAGCGTGTGCACATTTTCCACTCCCTGGGGAGCATTCCAGCCAGTCGCCATTTTACAAGCGCACACTTGCTCGTCCAACCACATGAACGTTCGCATCCTACCGGGTACCCATTTAACACCTGGGTGGAGAGTAGCAAGTGCAGGTAAATATCTTGCCAAAGGATATTAGTGCCGTGTCGGGATTCGAACCCTCGACCTTCGCATCTACAGTCAAGCGCCTTAAACCACTCGACCACGACACTCCAAAAATTATACGATCGCAAAGACATCCGATAATTCATCCTAAGGCAACTTCACTTGATCCCTTAAAAGCATGGCTCTTCAAATGCTTTCTATTCAAATAGGACAAGTAACAGCTTAAAATAAGGCCCGATTTATATGGCACATGTTTCTATGTACAGTCCTTGTTACTTTACCGAGACTTGTCCAAATTTATTATCATTTTGATGACTCCAGAACCTTGCAGTAAACACCGATACTTGTATGCTACATATTCAACTTTTTTCTGATCGATTCCACACCGTTTCTTTCACAATGCTGTCATAACTCAACTTTATCTTTATAGTTGAACTTATAAGTATGGCAGGCCATTCATGCCACTGGTTGCTTTCATCATGATGATCTTTAGATAATGAACTATCACAAAATTTAAATTCTGTAGATTTGTGACCATGATTTGTACGTCCCTTGAGAGACCAATGCCATTAAATAGTGAGAGAAAATAGTGGCATGAACGGCCTTCCATAGTAAAGTCGAAGTTAAAGTCGATCTTAGTATTATTTTGT